GAAAGTAGTTTGAGTACTTGTAATTAGTTACTTTACAACACTGAGTATAACGATGGTTTGTTCTGTAGACTATCGAAAAAAGATATAGCTTAAAGGGGCTAATAATATTGACCTTAAAAAACAAATAAGACTTTCTCTAGAGAGAAATATATTATCGGACATACTGTGGAAAATTTTCCTGCTCTGTTAAACATCATTTGAGAAATATTTAAAAAATGTTAAAAAAAATAATAATAATAATTCAAAAGGGTAACATTATCGACTAACTTTTTGGGGTTTACAGCGTTACTACACACATAACCTGAGACCGACTATACAAGTATTTTTTTTTTACGTAAGACAGAGCAATATTCTGAAAGCTAGTGCAAAAAAGGTATTTAAAAGGGGTGGTCCAGAGAGTATTTGTAAGGCTTGGTTGTGTTTATAGGGTGCAAAGCAATGTGTGCTCATGCTTCAGTTGCAAAATATCACATTATTCTTTTCATATATCTTACTTTATTATTTACTGCTCAGCTAACATGAAAATGAACCTTATGCCTGCTCTCTAAAATAAAATCTGTGTGTCTTTTATATATATGTGTCTTTTATATATATATATATATATATATATATATATATATATATATAAAAGTGTCTTTTATATATATTTAGGTTAAAAGCATGTGTAAGTAATATCTTTCACATATAGTATATTTTGTGAGTTTGTTACTTAAGATGATTCCTTGGATTTACTAAATTTTTTTACATTAAGTGGTTGTAAACAATTTATTTGGGCTGAATTTAAACAAATTTAGTTGAACATTATAAAACTTAATTTGTTTGTTTAAATTCAACACAAATAAATTGTTTGCAACAGTTCTGCATGCAACACTTTTTTTCAGTGAGATTGTGGGTGTTTTCAGGGGTTTGACGGATAAATATGAATTTGTAGTTAAGTTGTTAGCAGTGCCAAACAGCATTTTCTGTTGTTTACATCCTTGTTTACATTCTTGCTACAACATGCCATTAATTCTAGACAATATTTATGTAACAGATCAAAAAAAAAAAAATCTTTAAAATCTTTAAAAAATAAAATACTTACAAGATGTGGCTTACAATCCACAGCTTCTACTATTATGGCTGGAGATGTTCCTTCTTTGAGGAGTTTTTAGCCAAATCGAGATTCTGGAAGCTGTCTTTTATTAAGTGCTAGCTATATAATTTTTTTTATATATATAATTCCCTGGAACATATTAAAATTAAGTGTATTTGGACAGCATTTTAGCTTTCTCTGCTTTAACATTACAGTGCCTCTGGCCACGCCCCTTCACTGCGGGGGTTGTATGCATGTAACCTTAAGGATTTATAACATAAATAACCCATATGTATTTTTATTTTATTTTATTACTTTTTTTTTTGTAGTCCCCAAACTTTGTTCGCTGTAGGCTTTGCTAAGCTGTTAAGCTGCTTATTTTTACACATCTACATTACACATTAACTAAAATTTAAAATATAATATTGTAGTGGACCACCCCTTTAAGACTGAATATGCAAGATATACAATATGATTTGTAGTTTATTTACAAACAAACATTGTTTTCCTTCTTGAGTCTTAGTTAGTTTTCCTTATTGAGTCCTTGTATGTGGTGAAATATGAAAAGATGAGTGTTTTTAAATGTGGTTTGTCAAGCCCACTCACCTGTATGAAGCACACTTAGAATTGCATAATGCTTTAAAGCAGTGTTCACCAAACTTGTTCCTGGAGGGCTGGTGTCCTGCACATTTAAGCTCCAACCCTAATCAAACACACCTGAACAAGCTAATCAAGGTCTTGCAAGGTATACTTAAAACATCCAGGCAGGTTTGTTGAGGCAAGTTGGCGCTAAACCCTGTAGGGACACCGGCCCTCCAGGACCGAGATTGGTGACCCCTGCTTTAAGGGTTTCTTGTGGTGTGTGGGGAGGAAAGGATTCTGGTTTTAGGAGGCTGGAATTGTGGATAATATTTCAAAGTGGGAAAAGGTGATTGGAATTGTGTGCTTTAACAGCTTGTGGAAAGAAACTGTTGAGTAGTCTCGCCGACTCTAATACCCTGGAACAATCTTCCTGATGGCATGAGTTGGGAAATGACACTTGTTTGAGGCCCCCAAAAGTTCATAAATCCATCATCAAACTAACCTATATGCCGCCAGGGAGTTATGCAGGAAGCAGTTTGATGTGTTTGTGTAACAGAAATATTAAACTTTTTTCAATTATAAACTCCAATCAATTCTGGCAGCGGCCAATTGCGCATTATAAAAGTCACATCCAACACCATTATACATCATGGAAGAGCCAGAATCAAAATTAAAACTGCTCTGACTGTGTTCATCTGACTAGAAAAAAAATCATATACACAGAAGATTAGATGATTAAAGGGTGAGTAAATTATGGAGTCATTTTTAATTTAGGTGATATCTCCCTTAAATTTTTTTAAATAAAAATTAAATAATTTTCATGGCTTAAAGCTTGAAATTTTAAAATAACAGTCTACTTAAATTGTTTTAAAAAAATACAGCTATTAAACATGTTATTATTCACTTATCATTTGATTGTTTAAACCATAGATTTGATGCAAATAACCTATTACAGCAGAACATAGACACAGTGTACATAGACACATTCCAATTAAGCCTGTTGTAACAGCACATTAATCCTACTTAAACAGAAGCTAAAACACATCAAGTACACATTGGTAAGCAATGGTTAGGACTTATAATGTCTGAAAATGTGATAGGGTTTACCATTTTTGCACTGTAAGTATGAATATGCAATTTAATCTTCTGCCCTGGTATGTTCTCACTGTGTTCAGTTCAATAGCTATGTTTTAAAATAATCTATATGCAGTGAATGATCCACATCTCTGCAAGTGCTACGAGTCTGGGTCTCTTCAGTTGTGCATTTGAAAATGTAACATGCATCAAATATCTTTCTAAAATAATATTGAGAATGTATGATTCTTTTATTAATTAATAACTAGGTAACTATTTGCAATAAATTTAATGCTAGTTTATGTATTTACAAATGTTGTCAAACAATAAACAATACTTTATTTCGTTAACAAAAAAAATGTAATTAAAGTCATTCATTGTTAGTTGTTAACTCAGTGCATTAACTAATGTAAGCAGGCTCAACTTTAAATTGTAATAATGCATTAGTAAATGTTGAATTATGATAAATGTGATAAATAAATGTTGTGCAGCTGTTGCTGGGGTTGGGGGGTGGTTGAAATTGCAGGAGTTTTCCGGGAGAAATAAAAAAACAGGAGGGTGGCGAGAGACAGTGGTGGATAGAGTACTGAAAAATCATACTCAAGTAAAAGAACCATTACTTGCCTAAAAATGTAGTGTGAGTAGAGTAAAAGTATCTGTTGTAAATAATACTCAAAGTATAAGTAAAAAGTAGCCCTTTCAAAAGTACTTAAGAGTATTACACTGTAAAAAGATGTAAAAATGATGCGTTTACATGATCTCTGTGGATGTGTGTAAACGTAACATTCTGTAGTGCATTTAGTTATTGCCCAGCAGGCACATAACATCACAAGACATTAATATTGGGTTAGATTTAGGCTGTGATCTCAAGTGATAAAAATTGAATGTCTTGCCAGCGTCTAAGGACAGTTAATTTGATGTCCAATAAGGGCGGCAAATTACTTTGTTATACGACCCAATTTTAGGTTGTTAGAAAGTGACCAAAATCCAACGTTGAGCCAACATCTTAAACCAACATCATATTGATGTCAAAAACTGGCATTTATTCATCAGGTATGGCAACCAAAATCAAACGTCTGAGAGACGTCATAGTGGTAACGTCCACACAACGTTAAGCTGTTACGTCATTAGACGTTGATATTTGGTTGATTTTAGGTTGGACATTGATGTTGGCCAGACTTTGAGTTCTGACGTCAACATTTGGATTCTGTTTAATTTCCAAACAAAATGCAACGTCCCCATGGCGTTAGAGTACAACATCAATCTGACATCATGTTGAAATCTTGTGCCTCCTGGGTGTTTAAGGCCATTTTGGTCATCATAAAGTAAACATCCATCATCTTTTCATCAGTGACATGCATCTAAACAGTCTCTGGGTCATTGCGTGTAACGGTTTTGGACATCTTCCTGGACACTTTTAATGCTTCCAAACAGTTTGCTGCAATTATAAATTGCCTGTGTTTTGAGGTAGTTCAATATGATGCGATTTACATTCTATGTGCGATTTGATTGGACAGGAATCAAAAGACAACTGAGCTAATCCCCATTGATAAGAAAAAAAAGTAGTGCAGGTTGAAGGAAAGTAGTGGAGTTAAAGTACAGATACTGCATTAAAATGTACTCAAGAAAAAGTAAAAGTTTTAAAACTTTTTTTAAAATTTTTACACAATTTTAAAACTACTTAGAAAATTAAAATTCCTAAGAAAAACTACTCAATTACAGTAATTCGAGTATTTGTACGTAGTTACTTTAAACCACTGGCTGGAGATGGTTCTGAAATATGGGACACTTCGTGAAAAACGAGAGTGTTGGCAGGTATAGTAAATACAGCAACATTAACTACTGTAATTAAACCCTGTTGTAAAGTGTGACCAATAAACAAGTACATTGAAAGTAAATGCACTAAAATAATACAGACGTAGATAAATCCATCTTGCAAATGTAACTATTAAAAAAAAAAAAAAACTGAAAGAAAAGTGCTGACATGTTTTGAATGTCATATTTGTGAGAAAATTATTCAATTCTCATGCCCCGCAGCTCATTGCTTGCCTTGCTGTCAGCAAGAATTATTATTATTCACTGATCCAGCCTAATTTGGAGTAGAAAAATGCCAGGATGTTTTCCTAAGCATAATTCCAGTCTTGATATTTAACATTGACTACAGAACAGAATATGCAGTCTAAATTTCTCTCTCTATCTTTTTCTCTCCCTCTGAATTATTATTCTTGCAGTGACAGTAGATGAATCCATTTTTATTGACCACAGCTGCAATACGGCTCCGAGCAGGAGTGTTTCCAGCAGACAGACTTTCATCACTGCGGCCCGTCACACCATGGATATCTTTTTCACCCCTTCATTCCCAGTTTTATGCCAGGATTCTAGAGGCCACAACTATACAATCCCCTGTGCTGACAACCAAACACTGAACTCAACATCTCCCTCTACGGTTAACCCTCCAGCGTTCGGGATGTCCTACTTCACCATGACTCTCGGCGCACTCTCAAACCTAACCGCACTTGCAATCCTGGCCCACTCCTACGCCAGCTTTCGCAGACGAGCCAAAGTGCCGTTTCTGCTATTAGCGTCAACCCTTCTTCTGAGTGATCTGGCGGGTCACTTGATCACCGGGGCTCTGGCTCTTAACCTCCACCTGGAAAGGGTAAAGCATCACGGACAGATGGAAGTGGAGCCTCCTCGGATTTACTGCAAGCTTTTTGGAGCTTGCATGGTGTTTTTCGGCCTTTGTCCATTACTTCTTGGAAGTGCTATGGCTGTGGAGCGTTGCATTGGCATTACTCAACCCCTCCTGCATTCGACGGTCGTCACCATGACCCGTGTGCGGCTCTCTGTGCTCCTCATCACCTCAATGGCGCTCACTTTAGCTGGACTCCCTCTGCTAAACGTAGGCAACTATAAACCGCAGTTTCCTGGCACCTGGTGTTTCCTTCCTGTGAACGGCCCGCTCTCCATTGCTGATGTCAGCCTCACTTTGGCGTTTTCAATACTGGGGCTTGTAACTTTGATCGTCTCATTAGTTTCTAACACTTTAAGCGGGCTGAAATTGCTCCAGGCGAGGATTAAGGATGGCTGTCTGAAGTCAAACGCCGCTCGGAGACACGGATCTTTCTCGTCTTCCTCTCTGCACTCGCTGGATGTGGAGATGATGACGCAGTTGGCTGTGATAACCGTGGTCTCCTGTGTCTGCTGGAGTCCCTTTCTTGTGAGTGAGTCAGGGATGTAACCCACACCGACACTGAGGGGATCAATACCAGTGCTGTTGAAACTAATGCTGCCCCATTTGATGTTATCATGACAAAAACCTTTAGAAGTTTTGGCTGCTCTGCCTCAGCCATATAATAGCTGTAACATACAAAGCCATTGGCTGAATTTGGGATCATCAGAGAGTGTCTGTCTGACTTATTGAGCCCAGGCTCATTGGAAATATGTGCCTTAGCCTGCATTTTTGTGAAACCTTAAAAGGCTCCAATTTTACCCCTTTTACAAGATGTAAGATAAGTCTTTGGTGTCACCAGAATGTGCCTGCAAAGTTTCAGCTCAAAATACGTGTCAGATCATTTAATTAACACTCCAGATTATGCCAATTTTAGACTCAGATGACAGTGTAGTTGTTTTTATTGCCTGTGCCTTTAATGCAAATAAGCTGGTTCTCCCCATTAACCATTGTGCATGTCGGCTACGACTACATAAAGTCATAAACAGAACAGTCACAGAGACAGACATGGATGAGATTAAGGATTTAGTTTATTTATTATATATATATGTGTGTGTTGGTGTTATTCAAGCAAATGATGCAACGCTAAGTTATAAAAACCATTACAAAGTTCGCAGTACACACACGTTTAACTTTATACTGTTTTTGCACTACTCGGTGTCCTCGTAGCTTCTTTGTCTTTTCTTTATTATAAACATGCACTGTTGTGGAAACATTTTAGACTGGTAAAACTCATTTTAGAGGTGCAGCTGATCACAGAGAGTTGTAACAGATCTTTTAATCCCAGTTACTTTGCAACTCCTGTCTCTCAAAATTGCTGGAATTTGGATCCTATTTTAAAGTCAGAATATTAAAAAAGAGAGACCTGTCGTGTTTATATTACAGTGGTCCTTCATTAATTGCGGGAGTTATGTTCTAAAAATATCCTGCAATAGGTGAAGTTTGCGAAGTAGTCCGCTTTATTTTTTATAATTATTATAGATGTTTTAAGCTGTAAAACCCCTCACAACACTATTTTCTCAGATAGGCATTAATATTTTTACACTTTTCTCTCTTGTTAAAATACTCACGTAGCTTTTACCTTCCTTTAGCATGTCCAAAAGTCCAACTTTTTGTGCAATGGTTAGCATCTTCCTCTGCCTTTTAGATGCTACCGCACGTGCCTTTAATGGTGCGGAATTTTTCGTCGCCACTATGGTGTTTGTTGGTTAAAAGCTTGCAAACATATAGTACAGACCTTCAGAGTTACATGGCTAGCAATCAAAGATTTATGTCAGTTTGGCAAGCTGAACACATTCTGTACTGTACAGGAGACAAGGTATTGATTGACAATGGTCTACAGCTAATCAGGACACAGAACACCGTGCTTTGTAAAAAAAAAAAAAAAAAAAAAACTTGGCGAAATAACTGCAAGAACGCGAAAGGTAACCCACGTTATAGTGAGGGACCACTGTACTGCAATATGAAAGTGAACACACCTACACACAGTTCAGTCCAAATAGTTTCCAAAAGTTGATTTTGCATCATAAATTCTTAGAAATAAAGGTACCGGAGCTGTCACACGCAGAAGCTTTTCAAAAAATACATTTACATACATTCAATACATACATTTGGGCACTAAAATGCACCTTTGAGGTACCACTGTGTACTCTTTGGGTACAAATGTGTATCTTTTGGTACTGCCCTAGTGACAGCTCCTGTACCTTTATTTCTGAGACTGTGGGTGCCTTTTCTTTTGCATTGCTTTTGTTGCCTATTTCAGATGACAAAATCACTAGAGGTTGCTGTCTACATTATTGCGAGGATATGTGTTGTTGTGTGTTTCAGAAACACAACCTTCTTGTAGACATCCACTAGAAGCATGTCTACAGATCACCTAGCAAACCACTGAGCTAAACTCTACCCTAAACCCAACCGATAGTGTTTTCAAAAGCAAGAGTAAGAAAAAAAGTGCACTGCAACCAAGGTTTTACTTTGATTTACTTTGCTTTTATCTCTTTTGTGGAGATGAGCTGTTTTGCGAACATCCAAATGCTCTGTTACAACTACAACACCTTACACAGTGAGCTACTGACCAAACAGGACATGCTAGAAATGTTAAACATATAGAGGTGAGGCAAATGTATTCAATTGCAAATTATAGCAACCCAGGCTCATTCTGAAAACGTAATCCCGTGGACGTTTTTGGAGACCATGAAATACGTCCCAGGAGGTACGTATTTCTGCAGTTTTTGTTTACACAAATTCAAAAGAGGTCGCTGTGTGTGCTTTTTGTATCTCAAATGTCTCTCGCAAGTGCCGTTCACGTCGCGCTGTTCTCGCGTAAACCCACCAGATGCCGCTGTCTGTCCGACTGAATATTTCACTGGGCGACCGGCTAATCGACTGACCCACCCTCCTCCTTCCCTAAACCCAACCAACAATTTACAAAAGCCGTCCAGAAAAAGAAAAGCCCTTGTCTGATTTTTATCACGTTTTCAGATTTTACCACATTCTCACCCTGTTATGAACCTGTTTTTGTCTTACCTGGAATTGCTCTTCCCCGAACTCGAACCCAGTCGTCGTCATGGTCAGCTCCTCTCTGCGCCTCAAGTCCGCCAATGTACACGACAAGCTAACTGGACAAACTGGTTGCGGTGGGAAAGCCTTTCACATGGAGGTTAGAGGTCAGCTGGTAAGCGCAAAAAGGAACGGCATCATACCGCCCTGTAGCCTTCACTTAAAAAATGAAATGCAGCCACACGTACCTCCGGCTACATAATTCACAGTCTCATGAAACATTCTAGGGACCACGATTTCAGAATGAGTCTGAGTTGAATTATAGACGCTGTTAAGGGGTTGTTGTTGTTGTTGTTTTGATGTTGTACTGCATGAAAATTATGCTTTATTCATTAGTAATATGTACCTGTAAATATCATTAGTGCGAAAAGGAACCAAAGTTGTTAGCATCACACTGACCTGTAATTTTTATTTCGCGAGACTGCAGACAGTTTTGAAAAGGGCTTTTGTGGCTTCACAAAATGTAGGCCAGAGCACATATTTCCAATAACTCTGTATAGCGGGACTTTTTTTTTTGCAATTTTCCACATGAGTTCTAGTCCCATCAGACTGACTTCACCCAAAGAATTGGTGTCAGGCTATTAGTGAGACAGACTGTCAGTGCGCAAGAATAAACTAGAAAGTGACAAGACAGTGACTAAGACGGTGACAAGAAAGTGAATAATGTCATCTCACCTGAGAATTTCGATATGCACAATATAAGCCACCTGTAAGGAAGAAAGTGATCAACATGATTGATATTCAAAATGGTTGGCAAACACTGCTTTGATTAAAGTTTATATATGCACAGTTCCAGATAATAAACATTAACATATCATTGCTCTGAAGTAGTAGCTTCGCCAGCTAACAGTTAAACAAGGGGCAATCTGTCTTACTTTTATGGATAAAAGTTAACCCGGTTTACCTTTTGGTAACTTAATTAAAAAAGCTACAAGCTATCGATAAATGTCTATTTTTAAGACTAAGCACTTTTTACAATTGGCCACTGTTGATATTGACAAATAAATCTTTATAAGCAGGTGCAGAGTAAATTGCAGTCATTTTGCTTTTTGCTGAGTTCAAGCAATATATTATGGCCAAGATGCAGCCATTATGAGGAGACTCTTGATTTTCAACAAGGTCTACTTGGTGTGTCACAATGTTAAAAGCCATTTCAACAGACAATGACCAACAAGAACAATTGCCTGATTGCAAAGTGTCTTTTCTCAGCAGTATTGGGTGTAATTAGTTACAAAGTAACTAGTTAATGTAATATTTTTAGCAAACTGTTTTGTATTACAGTTTCAACATACTTAAAATGCACTTGCCATAAATACTAAAATATAAAATTCTACAGTTCTGTGTAAATCACTTTAGAGAAGCAATTTATAAAAAACTTGACATTTTACAAATGTTTTTGTGACATTCTTTATTTTTGTCGAGCTCCTGTGTGCAATTTTTTTTTTTTATAGGGACTGGTAGGTTCTTTTCATTGCCTTTAAAATAAAACATCTGAACCAAAATAAGATGAGAAAAAGGCTCAATTTAGACAGCACTTTTTCATCTGAACCCTTCATTTCTATTGTCTGTGCATTTAAATTTAACATTGAGCAAAATCTTTCTCTTAGGTAAATGTAATTTCAACTTATTTAGAGGGTAGAGGTGGAAATAATATTGTTTACATTTCTTTGTAAAATTACCTTTTTATATCTGTAAAATTTAACATATAAACAATTTGAAAATATAATATAATATAATATAATATAATATAATATAATATAATATAATATAATATATGAATTATTGAAATTAAATTAAATGTTATTTAAATACAAATATTGTGTCGTAACTAAATATTAATTAGCAATTCATTAATTTTTAGACATAAAGCAAAGCACCTGTTGCGATTGGTCAATGTCTGTTGTTGTCTGTTGTCTGTGTGAACTGGTCCTAAAGGGGTAGTTCACCCAAAAATGTATTTAGTCTTTTTTTTAATCTTCCTGGTGTTGTTTGTTTGCCATTTACCTTCTTGGTTTTGATTTTTTTTTTCTTTTTTAAACCACAAACAAAAAAGTTTTAACAAAATGTCCTGTTCACACATCCATATAATGGCAGTGAATAACAACCAGTATTAAGTTTTTTTAAATGGTGCAAAAATATAGCAGAAGAGTGTCCAAACTTAGACCTGGAGGCCCACTGTTCTGAAAACTACACCTGTTAGGAAGTTTCTAAAATGCTTAGCACAATTCGGGTGTTTAATTGACCATTTGCACAGTAAAGCCGCGGTCACACTGCACACTGCACTGCACACTGCACATTTAGCCCCATTGACTTCCATTCATATGCATGCGAAAGTGACAGACCGTAAACGCAAGCTCTTTCGGCAAGTCTCTTACTTTTTAAAAGTCTAACTATTATCTTTAAAAGAACAACAGAATTTCACATGCTCAAACTTTAGTTTGACCGCTGCATTAGTGAATTTTGTTAAGCCAACCCTGCTGTTCCCAATGAACAGTCATGTTGTTCATTATAAATGATACTTCCATGGCTACACATATAAGAACTGCAAAATTTGTAACCTGGGCTACGTGTGCGTGCAGTTTTTGTTTACATGTACATTTGACAATCTCCAATATGCTAGGCCCGTTTTCTTACGCTTTCTTATGTCCCATTCCTTCTGTACATTTCAATGTCCTTCTTGAGCACATATGAGAGAATTTGGTATGCTTGCTGTGCGTGTATCACTTTGCTATCAACACACTAATCCCCTTCCCTTAACCTAACCATGTTTTCAAAAGCAAACTAGAAGAGAGAAGCCATGATGGCAGGATGTCTTTACCAATTTCACACTGCCTTTTTTTTTTTTTTTTTTACCTGATTTAACTGGCATGCTACCGAGAAAACTGGTCACTCTGGAAAAGCCATCATTATGGAGGCAAGTGGTAAAAATGCAGCCATACAGTACATAGTCCTGGGCGCATATTTTGCAGTTCTCAAATGTAGATCTGGCCACATATTCCCAATTAGCCTGGGTTGATTGAAAGTGTGTCACATGCCAGTTAAGAAGCATTACACTAAATTGAATTGTACTGCACCATGTCTTCAAAATATAAACATTTATTTTAACATTGATGGACATGCAGTGCTCAGTTGTTTTCTCTCACTATGCTTTAAATTACAGTCTTTTTATTTCATTTTACGGTTAAACAATAAAATGAATGCTTAGGTCTATTTTAATGACTTTATTCTGATTATAAACTAAGTATCACATTAGCAATGCTATTAAAGGAACCTTAATAATAATAAAAAAAGTACTTTCACTGGAAGTTTGTTGCTGGTTTAAAAACATTCTGTTTTTATTGTCCATTAGGGTATAAGAATTACAGAATCCAAGACAGTGGCCCACCAGGTGCAGCAATAAATATCCGCCTGTGAAGCATGAAATATTTCAAGCGTATATGTGAAAAATACGTAAAGAAATAAATATAGGGTATTATTTAACCTGAACTTGAATGTATGTGCATGACGATGGGTTCATGAACGTCATACACATTACCCTGACTCAATAGAAAAAAGCACACATTTTGAAAGAAATTAAGATTTAAAGAATTGTTGAAAAAAAAAAAAAGTTAAGACAATTCCTATTTTCTCATTTCAGGACATAAAAATTATCTTATCAGATCTTTGGCAGATCTAAAAAAGTAAATAGAAAAATAAATAAAACCTGAATAACAACATAGCATTAACAAAAATAAGTCAGGCAGTGCTAATCAAATGCCTGAACTGATCATCAGCAGAAGTTTGATCAGTTTGTTGGTCTTGAGCTTTCATGTGTGTGTGAACACAATGCCCATCCAACTGCTAAACATGAGCCAAAATTGGGTAATGCAAATTTTGTGAGAACTGTGCAAAAAAATATCTTTCAGAATAATCTGAGAAACTGATAAAATCCTACCAAAAAAAGATTCCGTTAAGTAATCACTATCCTAAGTTTGTAACCCATGACTTTTCTACATTGGCTTTATTTTTGTTTTATTAACAGGCGTCATGGTGGCGCGGTGGGTAGCATGATCGCCTCACAGCAAGAAGGTCGCTGGTTTGAGCCCCAGCTGGGTCAGTTGGCATTTCTCTGTGGAGTTTGCATGTTCTCCCCGTGTTGGCCTGGGTTTTCTCTGGGTGCTCCAGTTTCCCACACAGTCAAAATATATACGCTATAGGGGAATAGGGACAGCTAAATTGTACGTATAGATGCATGTGAATGGGAGTGTATGGGTGTTTCCCAGTGTTGGGTTGTGGCTGGAGGGGCATCCGCTGCTTAAAACATATGCTGGATAAATTAACGGTTTATTCCACTGTGGTGACCCGAGATTAATAAAGGGACTAGGCCGAAAAGAAAATGAATGAATGAATGAATGTATATATTGACCCGTTGTGAGATTCATGTGATGTTGTTCATCTGAGGTTTTATCTTCCAGCTTTTTAGACCTGCTAATTATCCTATTGTTTTTTAATACTTTGTAATAATTTTTGCAATAATTTAGCGCTGTACTGCTGTCACCTAACATCAAATAAAAAAAAAAATGTTTCAGCTTTTTAATATAGTCTAGTGTATAAACATCTTAAATAGTTAGATAGACTTAAATGTTTTTAAAAAAAGCAGTTTTGGGTGGTTCAGATCAACTTTGCAAAAGTATAAAGTTTTGATGAGGTATTTGATGAGGTTTGACTACACTCAAAAAAAAATAGTTTTTGCTGGTTGTTGAAACTACACATTTAAAATGAGCTGAATCAACACAACTCTTACATTTTTTGGGACAACTTTAATTGTTTTATGTTCAATCCACTCAGGTTTTAAATCGCTTTGTGTTGGGAAAACATAGTGTTTAGGAAACAGCTTAAGGTGCAACTTAAGTATGACGTAGCCTTAAAAGGTTTCGAGAAATGCAACCTTGAGCTCTTGTCCACAGATATTTACTACACAGATACTTTGGGGGTATTTTAAGGAATTAGATTTCATGTTTTATTAACTTTGGATCACCTGTCTGCTTTTCCTGGCGCGGTCAGAGTGATCTGGCATACTAGTTCTATGATTGCGCATTTGGCAAAATTATTAAGGTAATGATTTTTGTTAAATATCGCATTAAATTTAGGTTAGTTTTTCCCCAGTGACTATAGTTCTTTATGGGGTTTTGTTCCCACAAGACACTTGGAATGTAGGGCATTTATTCACATGGAACTATCCTAATATTGTATTTATTTATTTTTTTTTTAAAGCTTAATTCTATTCACTGCTATTAGATGAACAAGTGCAAGTATGGCATTTTTACGATTTCTCCCTTTTATAGTCTTTACAAGACATTGCATGTGGCACTGAAACTACACAAGGGTGAGTAAATAAGGACAGAATTTTCATTGTTTGGGAAACCTATCCTTTTAACAGTTTATCAATGTCAAAATGACTGAGATTGGCAAACATATTAGAACATTAATGGAGAAGTAGGACACATGTAGCAAAGTATTTCATATTTTATGCCTGCATTATGAAATAAATGCATTAAACAACCCACTATATATCATGTGATGCAAACTACTGGACTTTTCCCTCTAAATTTTACCATTTTCTCACTTTGGAATTGTAAGGTTCTATCTGCGTTCTGAATGATTTTGAGATATTCAGCTTAAAAGTTTTTGCATTCCATTGCAAACAGTATGTGTGTAACAGTTTTTTAAATAAAAAATCTTAAAATGTAAACAACTTATAGACAGCATCCCATAATGTCAATAAGTTGTAATAAGTTGTAATGTGAATAACTCAATTTTGACAAAAATGTCAGATAGAACCTTATAATTCTAAGGTAATTATTTGTAATTTAAAATATTGAATTAATGATTTCCAAAATTCATGGCTGAACGCATCTATAACATAACATTGCACAACTTTATCCTTGTTTGCATTTTAAATGTTTTTCAAAATATATGACCAACATCTACTTCTGCATTTGTTCACCCCATATATTAATTCTGTTAACATTTACTCATGCTCCTGTCCTGCTGTTCCACACCCAAAAGACTTTTGTTTGTCTTTGGAACACAAATTATTATCATTCTAATCAAAGGTGAAAAATCTGCTCACCTAAAAATATTTTTTTTAAAAAACAACTCTCACACCTTAAAATCTGACACATTTATTCCCATTTAAATGTTGTAAACATTGTTCATTCATCAATGTTAACATAAGCTAAAAAATAATCCAAAATTAAATATGTTAATGTGTAAAGAAATCATGTTTTGATTGACATGGATTTATTAATTTATTCTCTATGAGTCGGCTGAGTTTTGAATTGTCATTTAAATAGTCAGAGTTTTTTTTTGTTAAAGAGACTTTTAATGGCCTGGCAGAAGTCTCTTTGATTTAATTAAAAGATTTTTCAAATTTTGAAGATAAGCACAATTCTAAGCTGTCTGGATTATGACAGAGTCTTCATTTTGGAATGAACTAAAAGGTCACACTTTACAATAAGGTTTCATTCATTAATGTTTGTTAAAGTACTTCCTAACATTATTGAATGAGCATTTGTACTGTATTTATTAACCATAGTTCAACATTTGCATTAGTAACATCTAAATTCATGCTTAACATTAGTTAAAGCACTGTACGTTAATGTGAACTAGCAAAGAATGACTGTATTTTTATTTACTAATGTTATTAATACTGTAATAAATGTATAGTTCATTGTTTGTTTCTGTAAGTCTATTAACTATAATACAAACCTTTGTAGTGTTACCAGCTAATCTTTTAAAGGCACTAAAACTATTAACTTGTTAAATTCTTTCTACAACAACATTCTTCCAGCCCCACCAAAACACTAAAACATTTTTAAAAAATGATCCCTCTCAGTGTTTATTACACAGTTACAACCCTATAGTGCTTTTGACAAACACTTACACTTCCCAGCCTGTTCTAGACTCTTTGACTGTTTTCCTCTTGTTTCACAGATTTACATCCTCATGTCCGTTAGCAGGTTTTATGAAGGAGTCAGCAGACCGAAGCACCAGTGTGAGAAGCTATTTCTCTTGGCTCTACGTTTGGCGAGCTGGAACCAGATTCTGGACCCGTGGGTTTACATCCTTCTGAGGCGAGCGGTCCTGCGCAGAGTCCTTCAGCTGCTGCAGCCGGACAGAGCTGTGTACACACAGAGCAGTTCCTACAGAGACTCACACAGAAAGACAATAAGCTGATCACACACAATGCAAAAAAAAAAATGCTTTACCTACACTGTAAAAAATCTGTTATTTAACATTTTCCAGGTGAAGCAGTGGCGCAGTAGGTAGTGCTGTTGCCTCACAGCAAGAAGGTCGCTGGATCGCTGGTTCGAGCCTCAGCTCAGTTGGCCTTTCTGTGTGGAGTTTGCATGTTCTCCCTGCGTTCGCATGGGTTTCCTCCGGGTGCTCCGGTTTCCCCCACAGTCCAAAGACATGCGGTACAGGTGAATTGAGTAGGCTAAATTGTCCGTAGTGTGTGTGGATGTTTCCCAGAGATGGGTTGCAGCTGGAAGGGCATCCGCTGTGTAAAAACTAGCTGGATAAGTCAACCCAAGCTCATTCTGGAAACGTAGCCCCGCGGACGTTTCTGGAGATCGTGATTTACGTGGCCGGAGGTACGTAAAGGCCGCGTTTGGTTTTTCGAGCGAACGCCGCGGGGCGGTGTGGCGCCGCTCCGCCCCTCCTCTTCGCACTCTCCTCCGAGTGGAGGGCTTTCCCGACGCAATCAGTTTGTCCGCCTAGCTCACAGCGTTGCGTCGGCGGAGCTGAGGCCCAGGAGGAGGAGGACGAGCCGGAGCCGGCCACGGTGGACGACGACCGAGATCGAGTCCGGGGAATGACGGGTTCCGGAAATCATGTAAGACGAAAAACGGAATCCGGAAAATAAGGGCGAGAACGCGGCGGGATTCGAAAAAGCGGTCGAAATCGAAGACGGGGGCTTTTGCTTTTTTTTTTTTTTTTTTCGATCCGGCGGCTTTTCGCGCGAGAACGGCGCGGGCGCGAACGCCGCGCGCTCCCAAGAGGTGCCCGCCCGAGACGCGAAAAAGCGCGCACAGCGGCCTCACGCGGATCCGCGAAAACAAAAAACCACTCGAATACGTACCTCCCGGGATGCAAATCGCGGTCCGCAGAAATGTCCGCGGGGCTATGTTTCCACAATGAGCCCGGGTTGGGATAAGTTGGTGGTTCAATCAGCTGTGGCGACCACGGATTAATAAAGGAACTAAGCCAACAAGAAAATGAATGAATGAATAACATTTTCCATATTTTCTGTTTATTTATGTTTGTGAATTGCATTATGGGATCTTGATCTCTGCTCTGATGACTTTTGGTGGTAAAAATTTAACTCTACAATTTAACAAAGTGATTTTATTGACATTTTAGTGGTTTACTTTGAAATAATATAATGTATTAGAAATAATATATCGAGAAATAAGTCTGTACAATAACAAAAAATGTATGGGCAGTTTATTGCAAGGTTTTTGTAGCATAATATAAAACACCAACTATATAGCACTTTAAATTACTAAAAAATGTTCATAAAACTCACTTTTTTTTACACCTTTCAAGTTTAAAAGTTGTTAGAAAAAAAAATCAAGGTCCCAAAAGCAGAATAAAACTTGAATCACAAAATATGAAAAACTGCTAATTTAAGGATATTTTTACAGTGTACTTGGGGTTGTAGTCTTGTTTTTGGTCCAAATATCTAAAAACATTAAATCAAAAAGCATTTCCTGGACAAGTATAACAAAATTGTCTTTTTAAAAATAAATTTATTTTTCATTAAAACAGGAAAAATACAATCTGTCATTGGGCGAAGCAATAAAATCTTATGTTTGCTTTGAAATAAGGTTTTTTATTACATCTTTGGCAAATTGTTTTGCTTGTTTTCAGGAAAAAAACTTAATTTTGACATGTTTTTGAAAACAAGACAATATTTTTTACTTGTTCAGAAAATGCTTCTTGATTTGTTTATATATATATATTTGGACAAAAAAAAGGCAAAAACTCTAAGAAAAGCAATGTGTTCGTACATGATTACATGTGGTCACTTGCCAAAAAAAAAAGATATAGAATCAAATATTTATAAAATTGTGTTCAAATTTGTCTGGTTTTCCTTGTGAAAACCAATTGTTGTTTAATCGTGGAATCTGTGTGTACTTCAAATCCTAAAATTATATATTTAAAAAAATCTGTACTTGCAGATAATATGATTTCAACTAATTTAAAAAAATAAAAGGTGTACTCAAAGAGAGTGCACTTTTAAATGTTTCTTACATTTAAATATTCAGGTCAGTTCATCTTTATTTCTATAGCGCTTTTACAATTGTTTCAAAGCAGCTTAACATAGAAGTTCTAGTAAATTGAAACTGTGTCAGTCCAGTTTTCAGAGTTGAAGTTCAGTTTAGTTCAGTTCAGAGTGGTTTAAATTTCACTGCTAAAAGTTCAATACTGAAGAGCAAATCCATCGATGTGCAGTTCCACAAGTCCCAAACAAGAAAGCCTGTGGCAACAGTGGCAAGAAACAAACTTCACTAAGGGCCTACTCACACTATGCCATCCGTACCGTGCCCAGACCTGTTTCCCGGATCGTTTGAGAAGTGTGAGTGCGCTGAATGGGGCTCAAGCATGGCTCACTTGGACGGCCCTGGCCCGGTTGGAAGAGGTGGGCCTGAGCGCGGTTCACTTGGGCAAAATGTGCCAAAGCCTGAAACTGAAAGTGAGACGTGACTTTTAAGGGACTGTTTCATATGGATTTATTAATCATTCTTACTGTTCAGTGAACGCAAACTGCCATAGTTTATTAAATACGCAAACCCCTCACTGCACGCAGCTGCGCACCTTCAGCAAACCTCCTCATTCCTGCAGCACAAGAGCTTTATGATTGTTTATAAGCGCCAAAAGTGGCGGATCTGTTCGGCGAAATATCTGACTGCGTGTCACAGCATCCCTAAGGACTGTTTGGCGAAATATTTGACTGCATGTCACTGCATATCAAACAACTGAAACGATATAACTAGAGAAATCTCCACTGTGCTGCTGAGTGACAGCATTTCTCACTGAACATCACAGCATCGATGACGTAAGCGTGCCCAGGCCCGATTGTGGTGTGAGTACAGGCCGCCGGGGGAGACGGGAGGGGGGACAAGAGTGCTTTGGCCCGGTTTGAGGCAACTGTACCTAGTGTGAGTACGGCCTAATTTACAAAAGTGAAGGGGAAAATGGGGGATGTGTGGCAGGGCAGAGTCATTCTGCCAGGACACATCCAATGTGAGGGGGGCGAGGGCGGGGGTGGGGACGGGTGCGCGGCAGGCCAGATTGACTGTCAGGTCACCGGAAAATGTCCCGGTGCTTCCTATGGCCAATTCGCCCCTGGACACGACCATTTATCCTCTGGCCAAACATCCAGTGCAGAGCTGCAGTCTAGGCATCAGAGGCATGGACATCCATCTTAGAGAACTGCAGGTGTGAGTAGGTCGCCTGCGGGTGATCAGGCTTGCCCATGAGATCAATGTCAAGACTCGTATGTCACTGCATGGGGTCTTTCAGGAATCAATGTCATGCTCTCCGTTACTCCATGACCGCCACAGCATCAGCTTAGCATACGGCCTGGTCCAGGATTATAGATACCTTGGCATCACTTCATCACAGGTTTTGGATCGCATCAATGGAACTGCATAATCTTGAGAGGCCTTGAGATGAGTATCCCCAAAAAGATATATAGAATTAAGAAAATAATTAGCGTAGCTGCTGTTCATTGAGTATTAAAAGAGGAAAAAAATAAGTGTTTTAAATGTAAATAGCAGTTCTATAAACAAACAGAAACAAACATGTAAAGCATATGAAAGTTTCTAACACAATGTCTCGTGCATCAGGACAGAAGGCGTGTGTTCTACAGGTGGTTTGTCGAGCCCACTCACCTGCCTGGATGCACTCAAGCATCATACTGTTATGTGATGCACTGTGTGTATGCTCTCCTTAATAGATAAGTCTTTAAATTAGTTTTGAACTAAGAGAGTGTGTCTGAGCCTCGGACATTATCAGGAAGGCTATTCCAGAGTTTAAGGGTAATAAATGAGAAAGCTCAACCTCCTTTACTCGACTTTGCTATTCTAGGTGCTACCAGAAGCCCTGAGTTTTGAGATCTTAAAGAGCGGGTTGGATTGATAAACAGGAGCTAGATTATTTAAAACTTAATAGGTAAAAGCAATGTTTTACAATCAACACGGAACTTAAAAGGCAACCAGTATAGAGAGGATAGAATTGAGGTGATATGAAACTGGTAAAAACTCTGGCAGCTGCATTTTGCACTAACTGAAGATTATTAATAAGGTTTTATGAAATAAGCTTTTTTTTTTTTATCTACAAGCTCTTCCGTTTTAGTTAAAGGAGGTAATTGATTTACTGTTGCTTGAAGATCCTGGGATTGAACACTGAACCTCACATACAAACCAAAATTGCACTATGTTGTTCAATATTACTGTTAAAATTAACATATTTTAAATGCTTCACATTGCAGATTAATCATTAAAAATGTCTAATTAAAAATATGTTTAAACGCATGAAAAGTATTGGCTGAAATGGCATATTAAGTAGCTCTCTATTTTAATTTAGCCTACCAGAAGATGTATGAAATTACATAATTTGATCATAATTAAATTAGCCAAACAGAACACTGTACGCAATGCGAAGTTCAGCTAATAATATTCATTACCTAATTTCAGTAAATTTCCCAGAGATGGGTTGCGGCTGTAAGAGAATCCGCTGCGTAAAAACTTGCTGGATAAGTTGGGGGTTCATTCCGCTGTGGCGACCCCGGATTGATAAATGGACTAAGCCGAAAAGAAAATGAATGAATGAATGAATTTCAGTAAATATGCCATCTGAATATATTCTTACATTCAATTTGCACTTAAATATATATTCGCTCAAAGTAGGCTATATTATCGCTATAATAAATAAAACAAAGGTGCAAGGAGTTTTCAAGTAATATATTACAGTTTGCTTATTTATTTCCCATTATTATTGTTGTTTCCTGATTAAAATACCATATTATACTCTATAAATACTAAATATACTATTGATTATTATGGTTATTAATAATAAATTGATTTACTATTTTATATAAGCTGTTTTATAAGGTAATTTACATATCTGTTACGGTGAGGGACAATTAGCATTAGTTCACCCATATTTTAAGATTATTCTAAAATAAATTGTTTACAAAATATGTTAAAAATAAATAAATTCTAAATTAATTAATAATACCACTAATAATAAATAAGCATTGTTATTATATTAATTATTTGAATAATAATTCTAATAAAAATATAATAATAA